CCTACCCATGCATGAACTGTTTCTAGACTTTGACATTCCTCTGTTCTCTGAGATAAGTGCTTGTGAATCATTATGAGATGTTGCTGAATTCTTTCTTCTCAACTTCTCATTCAACAAACTGCTTGTTACTTGACTCATGGTGACAATACTATTTGACACATAATTACTAAGGGAAACCACTAGTGTCTCCGTAATGAATTGAGAAGTAACAATGCTTGAAACTCATCATCAAGAGACATTTTCATAGAGGATAACTAGTTAGTAATACTCTACATTTCATTCAAATGCTCAGCAATAGAAGCACCCTCTCTATATTTTAGGCTCAGCCATGTTTTTCAATAGAAACATGGTGAAAGACACTATCATCAAATCACTATCATCTGTCATAGTTGTGGGTGTCGCACTATCCTCCTGCAAAGGTCCATACAAATTTTTACAATACAAGAGATCTTCCATTCTTGGTTTCCATATCATCCAATTGTTTCCATTTAAACTAATCATGCGAGAAACATTACTGGCCTCCATATTCAAATACAAAATTAAATCACTACAATCCTGCTTTGATACTAATTGATGGGATATAAATAAAAATAAACTTTTGTATATAAACAAATACTAGCAGGCTATAACATATAGCGGAATTAAATGAAACCACAATCAAATAGAACACCAAGATATACGTGGAAAACCCCCTCAATGTGAAGGGTAAAAACCACGGGGTAAACTAGAGATAATCCACTATAATAATAATGAATATACAAATCTCAATCTCTTGCCCAAAACCCTAGCAACAATCACAAGAGAATAACTGGGATACAAAGATCACGTCACTATACACAATATCTAAATCCTCCCTAATTCTCCCCAAATAATCATAGTAAGAATCTATTGTAGATCTGATCTAATCTGAAAGCACTACTAGATGATTGAGAACAGACTCTCTGTGTTGTCCTTGTCTTCTTCCCTTTCTTTCTCTTCCTTTTATGTCTTGTTCTCCTCCTTTTCTTTGGAATCTCGTGGCTGCCAAAAACTGCCTTGTTGCTATCTTTTTCTGTCTCTTTTTATAATCACCACACCCTCCTTAATATAAATTAAAATTAGATTAAGAGAGAGTGAGCTGTGGGCTAATAAAGCCCACCTTAGACTGAATATATGCTGTCAGCCCAACATACATGAGAGAAGTTGGATAAAATTATTATTTTTATTTTTATTTTTTAACTTAAGAATTTGATCACTGAATTTTACATATAAATCATCCGATTTATAAATATATCTTTATAAATAATTAAAAAAATCAAAGAGAATGTTATAATCATATAAGGTAAGCATTTCACCGCTGTTTGATTGCAGATATTCCGCAAGGAACCTTTTTTTTTTTAATTGCCAAGGTAATAAATTTTAACAAGCCATGACAATCCACAACATAATAAATTTTAACAAGCCATGACAATCATGATCGGCTTGTTAACTGTTGTTACTTCTATTTAGGATGCTTTCGCACAAATTTATTATGTTGTGCTTTGTTAATATACCATCGTTTGTTGTACCAGTGGTATTTATGCTGGAGATTTATCTAGTTTGGTTGGTTTGCCGTTGATTCGTTTTTTCTCTCGTTTTCTAGATTCTTGGTACTGATGAATCGAATGCATATCAGACCGAGTACCGCCTAGAGCTTGATGCTCTTGTGCGAAGGTAAATTTGTTGCATCTTCTCCCGATGTGTACTTACTTGCTATACTTTTTGCAGGCGATCAGCATCTTGTTTCTCCAGAGGATTTCTTTTTTCACTTCTTTTAAAGTGTTTGTGATGCAAAAAACATTAATATGCCTTTTGTTTTTGATCGATTTATTTTCTTCTTATATCATTGTCATCAGTCCTCTTTTCGTGACTCTATCTGTTAATTGCACGCAGTAGACGGTAGACAGTAGGAAATCTTAGAAAGGGATGAAGCATATATTGGTTCCTGGGACTTTGAGATAGTACAAAAGAAATTGATGTGTTGAAAAATCTGCGTCCTATAACAAATAAAATATTTGACTTGTTGGTGTTTGATGGTACTCGTGTGGCTTCCTGCACCTCCTTTTCTCCTTGCTTCAGCCTTCTGCGAGTCCAAGTGCAAAGTGAGATGCGCCAAGGCCGGCGTGATGGACCGGTGCCTGCGCTGCTGCGGGGTGTGCTTCGAGGAGTGCAAGTGTGTGCCTTCGGGGACCTACGGGAACAAGGATGAGTGCCCTTGCTACAGGGACGACGTCACCAAGGGCAAGAACAGGAAGCCCAAATGCCCATGAGCCGGAATCACCTGCTGTTGCTGTTACCATATCTATACATTATATGGTGCTAAATAAATGTAGCACTCGGGTTTTGCCAGCGAGGAATGTACTTGTAGGAGACTGTCTTGTCCTTACTTTGTTTGGACTATATTATGGAAGTCGCTTTACAAAACAAAAAAACAAAACAAAATCTTTCTTTGAAACTTAGTTTTGTTCGATCCTTTTTCTTTTCAGCTAAATGAAGTTTTTTTTTTCTCTTCTGGCGGTGATATCCTTGATTCACCTTTATGTTAAAGAATTGAAATCTCAATTTATAAAATTTTCACATCTAAAATATTAATATAGTGCATTACACCTAACTCACCCTTAATTTGAGTATTCTCCGTCTTCAAAGTTTTTACAAGTATAATATGTTTGTTGGTGGTAATATATAGGGTTAAGATTCATTTTAGTTCTAATGGTTTTGATCATTGATCACTTAAATTCTTATTGTTTACTTACGTCTAAAATAATCTTTATATTTTTAAAAACATAATATATAAGTTCTTTCTATCAACTTTGAGTTAACAGACATTAAAGTCTTATTACGTAACATGTTGATTAATAATAAACTATTAATATAATGATATATATAATTTAAGTTTTTTTAAAAAAATTATTTTAGTAATTATGGTTTTGATCATAGACCATTTAAGCTCTTATGGTTTTGCTCGTGTTTAAAATAACTCATATATTTTTCAAAAACATAATATATAAGCCATTTTTATAAAATCTAAGTTAACAGAAGTTAAAGTTTACTTATGTAGCATGCTGACGCATAATAAACCATTAATATAATTATATATAATTTAAATTAAAAAATTAAAATCACTATCAATGGCGGGAGGAGGCGTCGTTATGAGAGCAACCATCAGCAATAGCATTGAGTCGTTGTTGCCTCGTAGAGCATTGTACGTACATAGCCTCTCCCGCGTTGACGATAAGCTCAAGAGCTTATGGTCTTACCTCAGGTAGATGTGCATCAACCAATCATTCGTTAGGCATCCAATGGTCTGATGATCTATTTTCCTTCTCCTCGGTGTCTTCGTCTCCATAACGTCACACTTCATCCTCTCCTATGCCCCCACCCATTACACTTACAACATGATGGTCCAACTCTCCTTTACCTCTGCCTCCGGCCTCTCACACCTCTACCTCTCTACCTTCGTCCGACGCTACAGCCTCTGTTGCTTCATCTTTCTCGATAAGATAGATATTTTTTTAAACTTAAATTACACATATCATTATATTAATGATTTATTATAAGTCAGCATGTCACGTAAGCAAACTCTAAAATCTATCAACTCAGACTTAACGAGAGAGGTTTATATGTTATATTTTTAAAAATATATGAGTTCTTTTAGACAAATAAAATCATAAGGGCTTAAATGATTCACGACTAAAACTACATAGGCTAAAATGGCTCCTTTTTAAAAAAATTAAATTATATATATTATTATATTAATAATTTATTATGCGTCAGCATGTCACATAAGTAGATTCTAATGTTTATTAACTCAAACGTTATATTATATTTTTTAAATATAGAAGTTATTTTATATACGAGTAAACCATAACGACTTAAATGATCGGTGACTAAAACCATACGAGTTAAAATAAACCTTAACCCCAATATATATGTCTCACTTATTTAATATAAGAGTTTGAGACAGTTTCTCTTATATCTAAAATATTAATCTATTAGTAATAAATTTATGTTTGAAACATCAATTTATAAATTTCATACCTAAAACTTTGATGTATATATCTTATTTACCTTAGGTTGAGTAATCCTATAAATTTTAATCAAAATTTACCTTCGCCCCTTATCCTTTATCAAGAAGGAAAACTTCTTTCCTAGGTTAAAAACAAGATGATGTATATTACCAATTTGACTAAAGATCTAATCAATTATTTGTTTAACATGCAATAAGTTTTGATACTTTGGGAACTCTTTTATGTATTACTATCAAGCAAGAATTAAAATCTCGTATCATACAAAAGTTTTGAGCTTCGCTCGGTACGATATAGAACTATGTACTCTTGTAGTACGCTAGGGCATATCAAGTGGTACACCTAATTTAGGAGTAAAATATTCCAAAAATATCTGAAAATAAAAGAAATTAAGATATAATTTTTAAGTTAGAAATAAATATAGTAATAGTATAAATTTAGCAAAGCTAATATAAATTAGGTAAGAATAGTATAACATATTTTTTTCGAACTTTGAGGAATAGCCTTATACAAGATTCTTATTTCGATTCGTTATGGATTGCTCTTATGTAAATATTAAATTATCTACAGAAAACTCATTTGAATTGTCAATTTACAAATCATTACTTTGTAGAGTTTAGGAAAGTGTAAAGATGAGAAAAAATGAGTTTGATGTAATTTAAAAGAGTATGAAAATGAAATGAAATGAAATAAGAGAGAATATGAGTTTAAAAACCCATGAGAAAAGGCTCCAAAATGATTGTTAATGATCAAAATAGACCATTATCGAGATTACTGTTGGAGGACTCTTATAGATCGGTAACGGTCAAAATCGATCGTATAATTACACGACTCTCGAAAGGAGTATTACTCCTGGACAATCCCATGGTGATTTATGGCTGTTCAAGCATGTCTCTGCTACTATCATTGACCTAAATGGATTGCAAGCACACTTTAATCAACCAACAACTCATGCTCTGAGACTCGAGAAGCACGGAACACGAGAACTACTATACCATACAAGGTTACATCTCAAGATCCAGGAAATAAATTTGACCATCAGAAGGGTCAGAAAGTGAGTTCAAGATTGCATCCATCAGATAACATGTGCTTGCTGCCATATTTCGATTACCTATTCTAAAATGTTCATCTAGCAGCTACTACATCCTGGGTGTCTGGTGATCACCTTCACATATAAGACTGGTGTGGGGGTTGATAACTAGTGCCAGTGTATCCCCCATAGGTTGACGAAGCAGATGGCACTCCAGGGCCCATATAATTAGCATAGTTGTTCGAAGCAGAATGCAAGGTAGTGTTTGTGTAGCTTCCATAGTTCGCTGTGGCACCGCCATAGGGCACAGAGGGGCCTCGCTCATCTGGATAGTGGTATGCTCTCTGAGGGTGTGCTTGTTGCCCATATGCAGCATGTACCGGTGGTGCTTCGTAGGCTGGTGGTACGTTGTAAGCATACCTTTCGGCACCACCAGCATACGGAGCCCTATGATCAAAAGCCAAGGGTGGGCGCTGCCAGTTGTTGACAGCACCAGCATGCCTACGAGGAACATAGCCTCCACTTGCACGAGGCCTTTTTGGTTGGAATTTTGCAGTATCTCCACCTCGTTTCTTGTCAGCTTTAGCCTTTTCAAGCTGAGCAACTTGTTTCTGGAGGGGATCCAGAGGGTACTCTTCTTGGAGCTTGTACTCCTCGATACACTTAATGACAGCCCTTATGGCACCTAGCTCATCAGATGCAGAGTCCTTCTGAAGAGATTGAAATTCAAAAGAAATGAAAACGGGTGCAAATTGCTCAATAGAAAAAAAAAAAGATTTCCTTTTACCACTAGAATGATCCTAGTTCCAAGTTCTAATCCAGTTGGTGACCAAAGGTAGCAATCACCTGTACAGCAGCAGTGCTTGTGTCTTCATTAGTTTCTTTGGCATCTTTCAAGTCCCTTAGATATGCTTTCAACAAAGGGACAGGAGGAAACTGATCGGTAAGCTGAAAGGCATGTGCAAAGTGGACGGCGTCAATTTGCCTCCCTTTGCTAGCCAGGTCTTCAATAAGGCCTGCATGAACAACACATCTCAGATATTAAGATACCAACTATATATCAAAGAACTAATTTCTATTTTTTTTTTAAGAAGTCCATCCTTATTGCATTGACCTCACATCTCCTCTTGGAGCATTGTAAGACAACCTAACAAAGAAGTGCCCAAGTCACTGGAACTCTTGAGGCCAGTTATCAAAATACCAACCTGGCGTTTTGTGTGTTAATCCAAGAGAACGGCAAAACTCAGGTGCCTGCCTGCGACGAGAGACAGCTATGACGAGCTTGCAAAGTTCGTCTTCATCAAATTCTGGTGCAATGCTAAAAGTAGCAAGGAGCTGCAGAAATGCTTGTGCTTCCAATGAATACCCATTAGAAGCATCTAAATTTAAACCAGCCAACTTCGGCCTCCATTTATCAGCAATTTCTTTGGCCTGCTGTTTAATTTCAGAGCTCAAAGGATTAACACCTTGCTCTGTTGACCCCAATAGAGGGGCAGCAGATTCCATCACTAGAAGACAGCTTCTGCGCAGGCCCTGAAGGGTATTATCCTCATTCCCTGGTGAATTAGATTGGTCAAGAGGGTAGAAGCCCTCTAAGGACTCCAGCACCAAACGGGCTGGCTCAGTTGCATATTTCAGCGCTAGTGAAAGTTCCTCACGTAGGCTGCCAAGGTTCCTCTTCTTTTCTAAAATAAATTTCAGAAGTCCCTTTGCATCCATCTGTTGGCAAAGTTGCTTCAACCGAGGACGGACCTCGCATGATGCATTATCAGGATTTTTTTCCTCTGAAGCAGGATTTGGTGCATTGATATCATTGGGAGAGGTGCTTACCTTTTTTTCTTTGCTTCCCCTGACATCAATAGGCTCAGGAGATGCCACCTTATACTTGTGACGTGCCTCTGCTATGGCTGAAACAGCTGAGTCCCTCAGCTCCTGGAGACGAGCTAATGAAGCATGTTCTTTTGCAGAAACAGCAGCCTCCTTTTCTGCAATCAATGCCTGAGCTTCTGATTGCTTCTCCTCAAAAGCCTTCTTCTTCACTTTTACTTCCTCCAATTTATCCTTCAACAATCTCTCCAGACTCTGGAAATGTTCTTTGATTTCATCCCACTTGATCTTGCTTTGCAGAGATGATTCTTTGTGAGACTCCAGATCAGCAAATGCCTTCCCAAGCTGTTCCAACATCATTCCTGCTGATTCAATGCCACTAGAAACTGTTTCGGTGTCTTCCATGCTATCTACCAGCATCAAGGAATAAACTGCAAGACAGGTCATACTCCATGAGGAAGGGAAAGCAATTTTACTAAACATAAGTTGAGGTTACAGACAAAAAAAGGAAAAAAAAAATGAGACGAAGGTTTAACAACCATGTACTCCATTTAGGAGTAGCTTTTTACAACAAACTATTTCCATTTAATATTTCTTCACATCTAGGATATATTGCTCCCTCCCTTTTAAAATTCTGCGGCAATATGCATGTAAAGGTAGAAGAAAGCCAAGAATACGGGAAGCAATTGATAATGGGAGTATATCAGTTGCACTAAGTGTACGCATGAATACAAGCTCAAGATAATGGTCACATTCATGATACATCAGTGTATGACTCAACATCACAAATTCTATCTTAAAAACTTGAACAATCTCACGACACCAGTTTTTATAGAATTTACAAAAGCTCCATATGATGTTTCCATAAGAATTCATGCAATGGCTGTTTCACTTCCATGGGAAAAAACACTACTTGGAAGAAAATAAGATTCCAATTCCAGACTCCAAATTCTGCATTATGTTAGCAAGTGGCATTTTTTTACTTGACCTTTGCACCACAAGTGGAGTCACTGGGGATTGGACTGTGCATATACTGGTCTAGGTCATAAATATGTCATCTTAGACCAACCAAGTGCATATTCACAAAAGCATCAAAGTTACAACTTAAAATATAAACAAAAAAGAACCCAATTTAGACATTATGGAGTAAATGCAGCAGACTACATAAGCTATATTTTAATTCACTTGTCATGACTGAAGCCTGATGAGCTAACTGATAATGTCAACTTCGTTGAGCCCAAACCGCTAATTAAAATACTTAAGTTGAAGCTAATAGTAGTACACTTATCAGACTTTTACAAGTCAATCCTAGTCTTGCTCACTTTCAACGTGGGACTAATCAGGATGTTACAAACTCTCCCACATAAGAGCTTGATGTCTTCATCAAAGTCCAACATAGTCCAGATCAAATCCTAGCATGACGCATATAAGACGTGGCTCAATGGTGGCTCCACGCAACGACGAGTCCTCTGACTCCATCCATGGATAATCCCTCCCTATTTGAGCCCCCTCACCATGCCCCAATACTAGATCGACTCTGATATCAAACGTTACGACCCAGGTCTGATGAGCTGACTGACCTGTCAACTTCATTGAACCCAAAGCACTAGTCAAAATACTTAGGCTAAAATTGATGGTAGCACCCCTATCATACTCTTATGAGTCAATCTTAGTCTCGCCCACTTTCTACGTGGGACTAATCGAGGTGTTCCATCACTAGTTTCAAGGGATGAGTGTTCATGTTAATTCATGTCAATTTTGGGTATTAAATAAGTCAAATCACATTGATAACAGCCAACTAAATAGATAAACAACCTGACCGAATCTTCAATTGGTTATAACACAAACACAACGAATCACGTTCTCCTATGAGATCAAACCTGTTGAATACAGTAACTGCACCTCAACCAAATCATAGTGACCATTCTAAATTATACAAAATACAGCATCTAACTTTGCCAATTACAGATAGCATCCATTAATATAAACTCACAAGCCTGACCTTATCATTTCTTTTATTGCTGCATTCAGTGAACGTTCACCCCTCTTTTTTTCTTTTTTTGAGAAAAAAATCTAAATATCCCAATTATTGTAATGTTAACGAACCTTGTCCCACCAACACAACCAAATTTAAACACTTAGTTGACAAGCCCAGTTGCCAAACTTTTGACAGTACCATATGAATTCATCCTCAACAAAATGCTTGCATGGTTAAAGTGCATGAAAAATTACTTGAAATCATACTCTAAAATACTCGGGGAATTCAAAGTTCCTCCAAAATATAAATTGCAATGTGTGGTTAAAAAGTGTTTGATAAGTCAAATAAGTGCTATGCTCACTTCATGTCGTAAGCACCCATCATATTTAATAGAAAACAAGGTGTTTCAACTACATGTCATAATCCACAAGAACTGGGTAAGATCCATACCCGAATAAAGCCAACAAATTAATAACCCAACCTAAACTTACTAGACAAGTCAAGATACCAGTGTTAGGTGTAATCCAATACAACTTTGTCAGAATAAGGAAATGTAACAGGCAAGAAAGTAAATCACAAATATTTTGGGTTCAAAAAAGGATATTCCCAACCATTTAAATTTATTAAAGGTTTCACATTAAATTTTGCTAATAGGGGCAGCCAAAAACAGCTTCAATAAGGAAATTTCTGTAGTATACCAGCAGAATTTGCTCTGACCATCAGCTGCCTAACTCAAAGTCCTTTTCACCGAGAATTAGGACTGAAGAGCTTGTGCATAGAATAAAATTTGGTACCATGCAGTCAATATCAAATTAGAAATAACATGGAAGAGAGTTTTTAGACAGCCAAAATGCAGCTTATATAAGAAAATTTCTACAGTTATTCCAGAAGAACTTGCTCTGATCATCAGCTGCCTAACTCAAAGTCCCTTTTTACACTGAATTAGAACTGAACAGCTTGTGCAAAGTAGAATAAGATTTTGGCACTAAGTAGTCAATAAAATCAGATTAGAAATATCATGAAAGAGAATTTTTTTTCCTTCTTTTGAGTGTCTGTGTTTTCCAAATACATTGTGAACACAACCAGACCTTACCCAGACATGAGGGATGAGCTGAGAGATTTTAAGACTGGTCTCACTAAATATAATTGTAATGTATGAAAAGACTTGTGCTGGTCCACAATGTCAATTTGCAAACCTAGCTGACCTATAACCTTGATCCTACAAGATTTAGTTCAAGCTACGCGGCTCAATACCTGACCCAGTTGAATAAAAGGTCAAAACATACTAGAAAATATTTCTCATTTCCTATTATCATTTTCAGCAAAAAATTGGTGATATCAAGTGTCTCAGCAATTAAAATTTACCTAATGAGAATAACTCTGACCTCTGTGAGCATTTTGTTACTAGAAAATATTTCTCATTTCCTATTATCATTTAAAGCAAAAAATTGGTGATATCAAGTGTCTCAGCAATTAAAATTTATCTAATGAGAATAACTCTGACCTCTGTGAGCATTTTGTGATACTCCAAAGGCAAAAGATTTGTTACCTAAGCGCACAAGAAGTAAGATCATTTTGATCCTCGCATCGATTACACAGCTATGATGAAACAAAAGGACAGAATCCATCCTTTTTTGAAAAAAAAAAAAACTAGGTTATCTAAGCAAAATCAACAAAATCGCCAACATCCGACTGACAACATATTTCCCTCACAAAAATCACATTTTCCCCACAATAATAGGCGGTGGTTTAGGAGAAATAGACACAAGTCGAAAACGGGCAGCAATCAGCCCCAACTTGGGGATCTCAGCGACCAATCCGGAGATTTCCTTTTCCATAGAAGTTCACAGTAATACAATTCATATACCAAACGTTAACAACCAACTGGTGGAGTCGAGGATCCATCCTAGGTCGAAAATCGAGAGCGAGGAACCAAGAGAAGATCGAGAAAGAACGCATGAAGATGAGATCAAATCCGTACCTTCGTCGGCTTGACGGTCGCACAAGTTAGGGTTTCCCAGATGGATGTCCCACTCTCTCCTGCATTTCTAGTCGCAGCGCCTCGCGGGCTGAAAACGGGCCGGGCTACTTAAAGCCCACTTTGTGTGTAGCATCATTAACAAAAAAAATTAAGAAAACTTTATATGATTATTTTTAATATTATTAATAAAATAATAATAAGATATTTACCAAACAACTAAATGTATCAATAAATAATGTTTTTTTTGCTTCTAATAATAATATACCCGAATGTGGGACTATTTAGCATGTCCTTTTTCTTTCATTTAAATTTAATGTCCTCCTCGAGTTGTAAGATCTAATGCATGGTTTAGTAAATAATATGTGAGGATTAACACACAGTGATGTCCTAACATATTTGTAATCTTTGTGATGGCACTAATGTAACGACTAAGTATAAGACCACTTGGCAAGAATGATTGTCTTGGCAGGCAAGAGTTATTTTCACTGGGATCAATCACATGAACAACACTTTCACTTATAAAATTTAAATAAATTTTGTTAACGAATTTATCAACCCATAAGATGGAAGTTGGAAACCACTTGATGTAATATTTTAAGTAAATTGTTAATCTTAAAATTAAATTTTAAACTTGTTCTCACCTCAAGCATTTGTTTTCTTTTCTCAGCAATTACCTCTACTTAGTTTAATTAATTTTTTCAATAAATATCATTTTTTATCTCATCTCACTTGTGAAAATTGAATCTAGCATGTCTATCTAATAAAATGTTTTATCTATTGATAATCTGTGTGATGGTTTACTTAACATATTACTCTTGTAATTGAGTCCAATTGGGTATTTCGGCTCTTAGTTTTGTTTGATAATATTATGGTATTAAATAAATTTATTTTGCACATGGTGGTAACTATTTATCTATTGATTGAAAAGAAATCAATTGAAAAGGGTGGGATATTTTAGATGAACTCGAGCGACCTATCAAATCAATTAATATTTCAGGTGTAATACCTCAATTTTAATTAGGGATAAATTGATAATTTTTGTCTTATTAGTGAAATGTTTCATTAACATTCTTCTCTCTTATTGTGATCTGTGGTGTATCACCATCTTGCTTTTGTCTTACAATATATATATATATATATATATATATATATATATATATATATATATATATATATATATATATAAAAGAGAATGCACATTACATATGGCCTAACAATTCATTAGTCACATTCGTGCTTATAGCTTTTCATTGTTAAAGACGTGATTATAGGTAGAGATGTTCCTTTATTCTCTCTCTTTGTTACAGTTAAATTGTAAAATTATGTCTAAATTAAAAATCTAAAAATTGTTTAGTTAACAATTGAATTAAAATACTATGAACAAATTTAGATCCATTGCATATTTAAATTAATTTTTTTTTATCAAAGAATAAATAATGAAGATGAAATTTAAACACATTGACTAGATAACAATCAATGTTAGTTATCTAATTAAAATACTTGGGAAGATTCGTTAACAGTAATCAACTACTTTTGATTACTTAACAATCATGGTTTAGAGTTTAGACACATTGCGGGTTTATAAATAACTCAATATAACTAAACTAATCGATGTAGTTTAGCCAAGATAGGTGAACTCATTCAATATCTAACTCATGATTATAAGCAAAGAATATTGGATTGTGACCCATCTTATTAGATATTAGATGAAGTATTAACTAGTCGACTGTATTTGGTCAAATATTTAGATTCACTTATTAGGGTCTACAAATTCAAATGCTCCGAGTTCTTCATATGTTCTTTGATAGGCAAATGCATGCATTCAAATATGTTGTCTACTAATGGATGCATGAATGAAAATTTGTGGTTTACACGTATGCAGATTAACATATGTCTATTACATAACTTTTGATGAATAGGAATGCATGTCCTGCACATGTTTGTTTTGATTCATTGAGATCGAAGCATAAGTTGGAGTGGCATATAACTTTTAATCTTGTAAAAGTTATATTATTATAATTATAATTTTAATTTTAAATTGGGTTCTTGATAATTTTTTTAATCATAGGCTTATACCTTATTACGGATTACAAGCATCATAACCTGGGAAATAGTGAAGAGATAACATTTAACAAAACCAATGAAAAAAAAAGTTTTACTCCGTAGCTTTAGTAAGAGAATTATGAATATTATTTTTTTTTTACTAAAATGGATTGATTTTCACTAATATGTTAGGTTTCCTTAATTTTAGGAGTTTTTAATTTTAGGGATTCGATATTAAATTTTATTTTCTTATTTATTTTTTCTAGTTATTGTAAGAGTTTTTGAGTTTTTCCTAATTATATTAAGAGTCCATAGTAAATTAAGAATTATTATTTTTATTTTTATTAAAAAACTTAGTCAGAATTAAATAACTATATATATAATATCTTTAATTATTTTTTTCAAGCAATCAAATATAACTCAAAGTCTTTAGCCAACTTGGAGGTTGACCCTCTTAAAGTGATCAAAAGGAGGTTGATCCCTTCGAAGTGATTAATCCCTATATATTTTCTTAGATAAAACCCTAGAGTTTCATCATTTGGTAACAAAATAGTATTCCTAAAGTTCTTACAGTGTTTCCTCGGTATTCCTAAAGTTCTTATAATGTTTCCTCAATATGGTATTCCTAAAGTTCTTACAATGTTTCCTCAATATCCTCTTCGACGCTACCATAGGGCCAAACGCTCATGCCACCAATGACAACTTCACCTTCAACGCCAAGTAAGCAACCCTTGACCTAAAATCAAAATTAAAACTTAGGAATTGTATATCTATGACCAAGAGCAATGACTATTAATAATTCTTTGAAATTTCAATTTAAAGCCTTGAAAACAAAAATTAAGAGAAGGTGGTAAGAAACTCTAAATGGTTTTAAAAAGAGCTTACTTTAGAGATTTAGTAAAAATCAACAAGATGAAATTTTGGTTTCTACCAATAAAATCTAAAGTCACAAGAAGAGGTTACCAAGTAATAGCTATCCTTGTATGAAAGTAGAATTTTCTAGATGGGAAGATAGAGAACCGACCGATTAAGTTTTTAGAACAGATAAATTTTTTCGCTTTCATAAAATTATAAAATATTTTAAAGTAAAAACTAGCTTTAATCTAACTAATTAGATAGGGATGTTATTTAATGGTATGAAACTAATCATAGAGTTCTCTGGTAGAAGCAATTTAAGAAAAGGTTTCTTATTCGTTTTGGACCATTCGAACATGAGAATGTTGATAGGCAGCTTACTAGATTCATTAGACTTCTACTATATTAAAGTATCAAAATCGATTTTAACGACTATTAAAGATAGGTCTGAAAAGTAATTAGTGGAAACATTTATTGAACGTCTTAATTCAGATATTCATTATAAAGTTAAGGCTATTGAATTTTAGATTTTGATGATGAAACCAATTAGGGACAGATAATTAAAAGCCGAAAGAATAATGTTGGGTTAGAGTAAAACATGTCAGAAGATTGGACATCGAGCTGGAGAATCGGTTGACATGTCGACAAAAGGCTTCGGACCATGGGTTCGAGTATCGGGCCAAGAAGAGTAGAAATTACGCCAAGGAAATCAGAGTTGTTGAGGTTAACTAGCCGATTGGGCAATAGGCCAAAAAAGAGGATGATGTGCCAAAGAATCAAACGAAGCGTCGATGTACCAATGACATGTCAGATAACATTTGACTTAGCTTTATAATAATTGTTTAGATCGAAGTAGGTTTTAGGCGCATTTAGGTTGGAATTGGGCTAACTCAATTAGGGACCAATTGGGCCCAAGTTTGGGCTATGTTAGGCCAAGTGAAAGGCCCAAATAATGACCCAAATTGGTGGAACTATCGGTGGTATAGTCTCCGAGACTATGTTAGGCGGTGGTATTGCTAGACTGGGTAGTGGTACCGCCTAGTGTCAGTGCTGCAAAGTGGTGGTACTGCCCAACACAAGTAGTGGTACCGTCAGGACCTGGGAAACCCGGGTTGAGACCTTTTCTTGGCTTCATTTTTGAAGCCAATTGGGGTATATAAATACCCTAACTATTCCTACATGGAATAGCAAGAAAGTTGAGCATAACTCTGTTGTTCTAAAATTGTAAACCTTATTAGAAAGTTGAGTTCCCTCCTCCTAAAGCTTAGAGAGAGTTTTAAGGGAGGTGTGTGAGGGAAACCTTATAAAAGAGGGGTGTAAACATTATCTCCTAAACCTGTGAAAAGGAGAAAGTGTAAGGGGGTAGTTGATCTTCGCCCATTGAAAGAAGATCGGGTAGTGGAAGCCGGTGGCCTCGAGTGAAGAGGAATCGAGAGTGGATGTATGTCACGACGATCGAACCACTATAAAAATCTGGGTTACATTTCTTTTGTGCAATTTACCTTTGCTGCAAACTGCTTTACTTTCACTATGCTTCCATATGTTTTCAAGTTAAACATATTTCCTATACGGGCTTTGTTGGATATTGATTTTTATCGTACGAAGTTTCCAGAATCGACATAATTTTACCACTACACTAATTCACCCTACCTTCTTAGTGACGACTTGATCCTAACAGTTGGTATAAGAGCCATATTTTTCTTGTTTGGTTTAATACCCAAAAGAAATGGTTCTTTTCGGCTTTCAAGAGGGTCACTCTATCATTCGTCCTCCCATGTTCAATGGGACAGACTATACATATTGAAAAACTCGAATGAAAATTTTCTTGATTTATTTAGATTTTAATATTTAGAATATAATTGAAAACATACTTCAAAGGTCTTCTCTTCCAATGAATGATTGGAATGATTTGAAGAAGAAGACTTTTTCTTTAAATATTAAAGCTCTGAATGCTCTATTTTACGCCTTAGACAAAAATGAATTTAATTGGGTTTCTACTTGGGAAACGACTTTTGATATTTGGCACACACTCGAAATCACACACGAAGGCATTAGTAGATTTAAAGACTCTAAAATAAATATTTTGACGCGTGATTTTGAATTATTTTGTATGGAACTAAGCGAGA